AGTCATTGCTGGGGGGCAGAAAATTAGCGCTGTCTATTAACTATAAATATACACAAACTACAAATAAGATATAAAATAAAAACTTAGTTCAAATGAGAACCAAACTGAGGCCTGCTTTATAGGAAGATGGTCTTTTACCGCAGATCAACGCCGTAGATCAAAACATCTTCAAGAAAAAAAATATAAGAATGACTTGTAGAGAAAGTGGTCTCCTTGACGAATGTAATATTACTTGGCAGAGGTGTACAATCGCTTCTGACATCTAAACATGAGGAATGTGCAACGAGTGGGTGTGTCCGAGATCAACCCAATTCAGTGCCCTCCCAGGTTTAGGCGAAATCATCTAATTAGTCAGCTGCTGCGTAGGTTCGCGCGTTGTCTTCCGGATGCCTAGTGGGCCCTGCGCGGACTCGCAAAAATAACATACTCAAAAAGATTCGCATAGTGGGCTCTTCGCAATTTTACTTATAGTTCGCATTTCACGATTGTTTAAAACAGCTAACTTTTCTCGCAGATACGTTCATTTTTCTTTTTTGCCGCATGGTTCAGGCATTCACCTGGAACTGAAGCTAGGCTAGTAGTTTAGAAGGCGATGCGCACAAATTATGCTACTGCCTCCTACTCTTAAAGATGACGCTCAAACATCTACATTGTAACTTCTCTGAATTTTAAATGTGCGCATATAGCCTAAGTACTGATACAGAGGCTCGCACGAACACGCATAAAATAAAGATTACCCACCCCTAACCCCCTGTAAAAATGTCTGGCTACATCCCTCATCTGGCAGGAGAGAGATTTCATGTGTTCATAGAATTGCACATGGACAACTTTGTGATCTCGATATTTTCCGCTGCTTACAACTAGCTTTGCTGTTGTTTACTCGTACAAAAGATCGATTATTTCAACTCACCTACAAAAGCAACTTCGTGTACAGAATTCCGCGTTAGAACAAACTGTGATTTTGACTTACGTAAAGGGAAATGGCGTAAGACAAGTGGATAAGAATCACAAAACCATGAAGAACAATGTGCATTTTCGCCGGGTACAGGTAATTGGCAGGAAAAGTATTAGTAATTCAATGGCTTATGAGCACAAGATGAGTGTTTTAAATTCGACGCGGTATGAGATGATTGAGTGCAGTGCCATACCAATTCAGGTAAGAAGCGTTCCGCAAGCGCACGTGTGTTTTTTAAAGCGCGTATGTATATACTTTATGAGTGAAGTAACTTCTGTTACGCTTCACAATTATAAAAATACTCGAAAGAAACTGGAATTGTATTATTACGTCTATTATGCCTTCCTTGGCGCTCTCCTTCGCTGCTTATTTCAAGGTTTTGTTGTTGTTGTTTTTTTATTTTTGTATATATACTGAAAGAAAAATATGGCTGACTACCTGATCTTCGTAAATTTTGTTCCTGCTGGCAAATGCTGTAGCTCATGAAACTTTTTCAAATCAGGTAAATTATTTTCTAATTTATTTACCTTGTTCAATAAAAATCTTCTCACAACATTAAAACAGTACAACAATACAATCACATAAACTGTTGTAAAAACTGTGGTCGAACACTAAAATTCCTTTCTAATATATTATTTATTTCCATGTTTTTCGCTGAGGTGTTCCTTAATCAAATTTTGCCAAGCGCATAAGTTGATTTTATTTCTTTCAAGAATAATTACTGAGAAACCCCGTTTAATTGTGTTTGTGCTTGACATCTCCGAAGAATTTTTAAGCATTGTATCACGCTATTAAAATGATAATTTCATTGGCGACGTCGTATGTGAGTATACAAGTAAACTGTAGATGCTTCTCACGAACCTCGTGTAGCCTCAACAACCTTCGAGAGCGATTTTCCCACTCGTGCACGCTTCCCGAGTTGTCAGGCAGAGCTCAATTCACTTTATTGCTCTATGTATTGCTGTACAGGATGACATTACTGAAAACATAACCATGATTGACAATTCCTCCTATCTTTTCACGTGCCTTGTTGCAAGAGGCATTCTAAAATGTACTTTTTCATGTGATGGGTTCCATGTTTTAAGTGTCAGAGTTGATTATCTCACCACAAATGTACAACATAACTAACTTCACATCAACTTCATTTTTTATTAAATCACTACTTGAGATTTATTGCGGTAAAATGCTGAACTAAACTTATCACAACTGTGCCATTTTGCTATGAAACATAGACTGCATTGAAAGCAAGCGGCGTGATGTTAAACCACGTATGTAATAACAATTCATTGTAATTAGCCCAAGTGTGGTAAAATAACCAACAGGTGACCCCAAATCTTGGTTTAGGTATCTGCTAGCGACTTTCGCACGCAGGCGTTGGGAACCCCTGCTGTATTCTTTGGGTTTACGTTTTGCACACTGCCTAAGTGAATCGCAGAGGCTACGTGTTAAGGAGCGCGTGGTTGAGATCAAATCCGCTAGGTGCCGCAGTGGTCGAAGCTGCTCACACACACAAAAAAAACGTCTTCTCTTTCAATTAAAGTTTTCATTATCCCGGCACTTACTTGGCCTCTGGCAAAGCTATCAGCAGTTCAGAATATATATATACATACATATATATATATATATATATATATATATATATATATATATATATATATATATATATATATATATATATATATATATATATATATATATATATATATATATATATATATATATATAGGTCTTAACTTAAAGCAGAACTGCCACCTGGGGAGAAATATTGCTTTTAAACCAATTTAGCTAAATGTAAGAACAACTGCAAGTCAGGGATCGAAAAGAAGTTCTTGAAGCACTAACAGTGTCTCTCATCGCTCGTACAACTGATAAGGGTGGAATAATGTTCATATCACTTTTTTTAGACATTTCCTACTGGTGTCATTATTATCACTATTGCCTTACTGCGTATGCGCTCACAGCAGCTAGGCGTAAGCCTCTCCCACATTTTGCCGATCAATGCGGTCCTGGGCTTCTTGCAGCCACATGATACTCGCTATCTCCTTAACCTCATCTGCCCATTAACTTTCAGCCTTCTCTTCGTGCATTTCTCTTATTGATTGATATGTGGAGTTTAACGTCCCGAAACCCTTATATGATTATGACGGAGGGGTCCGGAAATTTTGACCACCCGGGGTTCTTTAACGTGCACCCGAATCTGAGCACGCGGGTCTACCACATTTCCGCCTCCATCAGAAATGCAGCCACCACAGCCGGGATTTGATCCCGCGACCTGCGCGTCAGCGGCCGAGTACCTTAACCGCTAGACCGCCGCGGCGGGGCAGCATTTCTCTTGTCTTCGAATCCCATCCGTTATTTTCAATGACGAGCTGTTATCTTGCCCAGTTTTATGAGTTCAGCCCATTCATATTTATTTTTGATATCGACTAAGACTTCTTTAAAGCCTCTTTTTTTAAGCTGTGCCACTCTTGTGCCGATAAGGTTGCACCCATTTCTTTTTTACTCTGGATGGCAGGATGCGCCTTCCACTTTTTAAGTTTAACGTTTTTGCTTATAGAAGTGCTCAAGGTTTCCTAGTTGACAGGGAGGTTGAAATCTTACGACACGCCCATTCCCTTTGATCGATTTGGAAACCAAAACGACGTTTGTGGTGGATGTAGAAATGAAAAATATACGATGTGCGTGCTTTCTTTAACGGCTTCCCTTTGGGCTCTAACTTTTCTGGGATGAAAATAAGTTGTGAACAACGCTTCGGATGTAACATTTGCAGTCCTCGAATGCCATATTTGTCAAAAACTGCATGGTCATGACCGTGCACTTTGAAGAGGGACTGGGCTGGTACTAGTTAGTAAATGTCAGACTACTCATTAACTTAACCTTGGTAAAGCGCTTGAATCAGTAAGAAACTGCGCAATTCGCTATATATATTCAGATTATTGTTTTCCAACAGTAGTGTTGTAAAACTAAAATCCAAAGCACATTCTGACAAATTGGAACTCAAACGCCTTAGGTCTAGGTTGTGCCTTTTTCAAAAATTTTTATCATTCTTCTCCTAGCACTTCATCAATCTTGACTGCTCATCATCCGTCCAGCCGCACAAAGCACACCAAGTGATTTACCTACCACCGGCACAGACCACTGCTCATCGACACTCCCTTCATGTGAACACAGCAAGAAATGCTATGCTCAAATCCAACCTGGAAGCCTTGAAGTTGTTCTTGCAATCATTATTACTACATAACAGCCCATCCCTCATGTAAATCCCTAAGCTTGGTATAATAATAATAATAATAATAATAATAATAATAATAATAATAATAATAATAATAATAATAATAATAATAATAATAATAATAATAATAATAATAATAATAATAATAATAATAATAATAATAATAATAATAATAATAATTATTATTATTATTATTACTTATAATAATTGCGTAGACCGCCTCAAATGCGTCATGTGCTGTTCTGCGCGTATGTATTGCATCGCATGTGTGTTCCATTTATGTATGTTATGTATAACTTCGAGTTGCTGGTCACAATAATACCGAGAAATTATCTCGAGACCTGTACGGTACTTCTTTTTTGCAAATAATTGTTTGTACTTCCACCCTGTAACGGCCCACTTCTGGGCTAACAGTATAAATAAATGAAATGAAATGAATAATAATAATAATAATAATAATAATAATAATAATAATAATAATAATAATAATAATAATAATAATAATAATAATAATAATAATAATAATAATAATAATAATAATAATAATAATATTATTATTATTATTATTATTATTATTATTATTATTATTATTATTATTATTATTATTATTATTATTATTATTATTATTATTATTATTATTATTATTATTGAGTGAAACATTGCGTGGCCCATCAGATGATGAGGGTTGGGCTGGGGTAGTGCTGACCTGTTCTCACTCATAACCCCTTGGCGCGATCTCCCATGCTCTTGGAAAGCATCTAGATTGCTCTTTGACCAGTCAGTGAATGAAACGACGTTGCTTAGTACACTCACAGCCAGGAAGTTTCTGCGAGCTCCAATGTCGAATGAGTCATCGCTTTCCTTGAAACTGGGCCGTCTTGCCGACTCGATCGTAGTGCGGTTGCGCACGACGAACGACAGATGCGCGCAGAGGAAGCCTCCCATCATGACGAACGTCGATCCGCCGACAACCAGCAGGAAGGTTATGTGGCGCGAGCGGTGCAGAAGACGGCGACGTGGGTTCTTGTGCAGCATGTACACGGCCACGCTGGCCACAGCGTAGGCTGCCAGGAAAACGACGTAGAACAGCGTGAGGAGGAAGAACTTGTACGTGCTGAAGCATACACAGTTGTTGAACCAGGGGCAGTGGTGGTCCATCTTTAGAACACACCTGCAGAGAGCAAACAGTCTCTCTTGTTACACCAGTTTGTACCGCTTTATTATTGCTGTCATATGACTAATATAAAAGCATGTTAAAAGAAAATCAAGTTTCAGATGTAAATTGTTATTAGCTGTAGCTATCAGGGGCCGCTTTTGATAGTCGTTACTTTAAATCAGACATGGTAGAATCTAAAAAAATGTCACCGTTTTCCTGCAAATTCAAATCGGTGATAGCACTAGCGACGTAACTATACACGGTGACAACTGTCTGGGGCAGCACAGCCAAAGGTACGTGGGCGGAGCTTCTGCACATGTGTTACTACACCAAGTTATCCGTTTTCGTGCGATTTTGGTTTCGGTTTCGCAAGCGCTTCCAACATGTACTTTTTCGCATTACCACCATGCAATAAATCTTACACTTATTTGCGAGGAAATCTAATGTTAATTTTTAAAGAAAAAAACAGAAAACATCTTGAGCACTGTGATTTATTTCAGAAAAAAGATACGGCCAAGCAGGTACTGGGTCATTGGAACAACGCAAAGCCAAGAAATTATTTCCTAAGTTGCAGTGCATACTTGGTCAGCATTATTGTTTTCCTTCTTTTAAAAACGCCAGAACATGCTGGAGACGCTCACGTAATTTTTTTAGTTGACGCAAAGACAGAGACGAGAAGCAGAAATCTCGACACCGGTCGGTCATGAGTGGACGTCTGACATTCGTAAATTGAAGTTGGTGGAACGCAATCTTTACTCAGCCAAGAACACTGTTTTTTTTTTCAATGTTAACAGGGTAATATACATGAACGCGTCGGTTACACAGGCAAAGCGCAAGCAACGACCACTTGCGTAGACATTTACGAGAGTGGTGTTACGATACGCAATCTTTAGCATTATCGTATCAACAATATTAGCCAGCTGAAACACTGACCACATATGCAATGCAATTTAGAAAAAGGTTTATTTGTTTCACATACAGTTTTCAATCGCACTCTTTCTTCCAAACAGCTGGTGTTGCTAGAGACTGGCAGGTCTCTGGTGTCACTTTCAAGGTGGCTATAGGCACCCGACAGTGGACCAGAGGGCGCGACAAAACTTTTTGGGCTGCCTCAGCATTGTTGGTACCAACCGCCAAGGGTACCAAGAAAATGAAACTCTCGCTGAACACATTGAGACGCTGAAGCATCAATGCTCCTTTGGCGAGTATTTAAAGAAGGCTTCCTGGGTGTTTAAAAAATGAGCTGTGGCCCCCTGCTCACAACTAAAAAAGAAAATAATATGCATGAGCAAGCCCAGTTTTGCTGTGTCTACTCGCTTGGCTACACATTGGAAGACTCGGTTTGGCTGCGCCAGTTCGCTAGGCCGTGTGTTCTGGCCCTACCATCAGATCTCGTAAACTGCGTTGCCGGGTGTTTATAACGAGCCCCACTTCCACTGATTATATCACTTGCACACAAATACTCTGTGATTGCATATGATGGAAACAAGATATTTCACTACGCATCACTGTCTTCGTTTCTACCTGCTCGATGAATGCACATCACCTGACGAACACGCACTGATACTCGCTTATAAGCTTCGATGTGAACTTGCTGGAACCGAGCGACGCCCTCGTTGTTTACCGCGACAGGAAAAAGGTGAAATGGCACCAAAAAACCAGAAAACTAGATACAGCAAAGAACGAGAAACCTACACGGGTGATGCTTCTTTATAATATTGTGAACAATCTTAAACACAGTATTTACATTTTTTCTTTTTATATATTTCATTATGCTACGCAGCATACCAAAGTAAGCGTTCGTGCGCTACATGCAGAAGCGTAGCAAGAAAGGGCGTGCTTGGGCTTCGTGCCCTTGGCTCTGCTGCCACAGAAAGCTGTCGCCAGTAAAGTAACGGTAATAAGGTTGGCAACTCAATCGGCTCTATATAATGCAGTTAATAGTGCCACACTGATGCATTCGCGCTCACGGTGCCTTTGGGCACTGGCAAATGCGACGAAGCTGACATTTCTCACTGCGTGAATTTAAGCGAGCAAGCACCCTGAGTTACATTTCGCTTCTCTGAGATATGATGTAATCTTCAAGATTAGGCTGGAGGATATCTGTGGATACTGCAGAAACAATGACACGCACTGACGCATCCCGCCACTTATGGATATCCTCTTAAAAGAATATTAGGTAATAAAGGAAACTGACAACTTCAACATGTGCTTTTCAGGACGATCTCGTTGATTACCGTCATAAACGCAAGATTCATAAATGCTTAAATAAAGCTCCATCATTGTTTAAAAATGACCTTGAAGCGCACCAAGGAGGTGGACGAAGTGGGTGAGATACCGTTCTTTTGCCGTCTTCGGGTCATCGCTGCTTGTTAGGTAATTTTTAAGAATGAACATTTATTTGCGGGCCGACAATGACACCTTGTTTAAAGCCCAGCCCCTTCTACAATGCCTCTTGAAAGAGGCGACATTTGTAGAAGGCACGCATCCTATTCTCACACAGTTACGCCACTCTTTTCACGAACACTGTTCTATCTTCGCTGCGCTCTGCACCCTCTTCGATCATCTTCCTGTTACATCCACAGTGGAAGCTTAAGAGCGGCATCTTACCATGATAAAGAGGAGCGTCGCAAAATATTTGTTTCTGGAACCATAATACAACTCAGCTTGCCTTTTGCATTTCGAGCAGTGGTGACAACGGTCTGGCTTTACAAGGTCGCAGGGTTTGCAGCGGCTCACTGCACCGCTCGCGAATCTCGTGAGGATGCCGCGCCTGGTTGCCATGTCTTCCAGTGCTAGACGCTCGAGCTGCGGGTTATGGGAGCAGCGCGCCAGTTCGCGACGTTCGTCATTGGTGAACTGGAAGCAGCTCGGCACGCATGGTGGTGGCGTAAACGTAGTCTGTGCGTACGACCACAGGCAGAAGAGCAGTGGCAGGTGGAAGACAGTGGCCAGGGTGAGGCGCACCGCGTCTTCCTGGACGTACCGACCGCAGAAGATGAAGAGGTAGGCGTAGTAGGCTTCGCCAAGCATCGCCATCGCAAGCAGTGCGGGAATCCAATCAAGTATCCACCTTATTCCTTTAACTATGGCCCTGTACGCTCGCCGGAGCATTGTTCTTCTTTTTCTTTAGTAATTTAGCTCATACCCACTAATGGTATGGGCCATAATGATTGTAAGCAAGTAATTTCAGTAAATTATTGAATCACCGAATTGATCAATCAATATATCAATTATAAATGAATTAAACAAGTAGATACGCTTCTAAATTTCCGAAAAAATACATCTCATTGTACAAAAGGCATAAAACTAGAGCTCGTAGATCAAACAAATATTATCAGTTTACTACCCGTAACGACTGTAGCAGCACTATTACTATAATCTATTACTATTTTCTGGTCCATGAGTATGAATTTATTGTAACGTAACTATTATTTCCAGTGGCGGAAACTTTTCTGGAACTAATACGACCATGCCCATGGTCAAACTTGATATGCCATAAATAACAATTAGAATGTCAGATTCTGATCTGTTCAGGAAACGGAAGCCTGAACACTACTCTTTCTCGGTACTCAAAGATAATAGAATGTAAAGTGGCAGTCACAGTGTTTTTACAGTGAAAGTCGCATACGGCTAGGAGTAAGAAAAAACTGTCTGTCAAAAGCCTCACGAGTGGTCTCCATTGGCTGTCATATAATTTACGTCATTCTCAGCATCGTACAGAAGCACACGCGCCATTGCCACGTTGTTAGCGGCCTCGTCTATCTCGTCGCAGCCGTAGAACCAAGCAAGCGAACATCAGTTTTTCCTGAAACCTTCAACATGGGTATGCCACGGGCAACTCTAGAAGAACGGCGGCAGTGTAAGTGTGAGAGGGCTCGCATTTTTCGGGTCGATGAGACAGTCCTGGCACAAATAAATGGCAGGTCCCACGTATACAGTGGGAATCGATGATATGCGAAGCACGAATTAGAAAGGTTGATATGTCACAATAAAATGAGCACAACGTTACAAGACGGGGGAATTATGCCGTACATGACTTCCATGTCATGACTATCATGTTTATGTATGTTTTTTACCTTCGTCATCTGTTCACGTCACGTGATACCAAATTTGGTATATGTGAAGCTAGCGAGATGGCTGCGATTCATCATGTGCGTGGTATGTTATCATGTTCTAACATAACACGCGTTTTTTGTTAATCACGTTGGCACTAGTCATATACTTCGTCATTCATCGACGTCACGTAACACCGAAATTGGTATACGTGAAGCTAGCGACATGGCGACGAGCGCATCATGAAGTGTCCAATATACTCCGACGTAACGTTGACGCGCGCGCACGCTTGGCGCAGTGACGCCACGCTTGCTAAACCCCGAGCCCTGTCGGACGCCAGGCGCGACCGGCGCGACCAGCGTCCATCGGTGCGGCCCGGCGGCAACCAGCGCAATATGCGACATGCTGCCTTTCGTGCCAACGACGTTAACCAGACAGCAACGCGTCTGCCTCTCTATGTGACGGAGTGACGCAGGACACGCTCAAGTGCGCATGCATCTAAGCAACGCAGCGCAGCGCGTGGCTGCCAGCATATGGCAGGCAGATCGGCGCCTGGCATGCATTGCCGGCGTGACTCGAGGTAACCAAAACTGACGCGCATGTGCGCCGGGTCACGCCGAAGCGTATTGGCATCCTGAGTGATGCATGTAGTCATGTTCTCGCATGACACGCATATCATGATTATTCTGTTTGCACCAGTCACATGCCTTCAACTTTCATTCACAACCCGTAATACCAAATTTGGTATATGTGGAGGTAGCGAAACGGCCGTGAGCGCATCATGAGTCCGGCATGTGGTCGTGCTGTAAATGACACGTATGTCATGATTTTCATGTTACGGTCAGCCAGCTTGTGTTCGCCATGCAATCATGCCATACCATACCAGTTTTGCAACATGTCATGTGAACGAAACCACTGTCAAACAGCAAGACCTTGCATACAAATCATGACATACATGTCATGATTTTCATGTTACAGTCACTTATGCTCGTCATATAGTCATGTCATGCCGTAACAATTTTGGTATCGATAACGTTATCTAAACAGCCAGGAGAGCTAAAACTCTTAGGAGGATAGATAGATAGATAGATAGATAGATAGATAGATAGATAGATAGATAGATAGATAGATAGATAGATAGATAGATAGATAGATAGATAGATAGATAGATACGCTGAAAGTTGCCGAAGTTCGCTAAAGAATGCTTCGCATTTAAAACAGGCCCGGGAGGCTGAATGCCAGCAGCAACTCGTACCGATGATCCGGCTGCCTTCCTAACTAGGCTAAATGGCGAGCGGTAATGCAAGCGCCGGTGGCCCGCAGGTCCTGAAAACCACGCGGCTGAGTTAGCTCACGATGTCGAGCGCTTGTAACAACGCCGCGCTCAACAACGAATGCGTGGTTCTTGAAGAAGGAAAAAGGCAGCTCATTCCATTCTGCTTAGGCGACAGGGCGCTATGGCTACGCCAAACTAGTGGCCTTGCTGCGTCAATTCGAACGTCCGCTTTCGGCGGGAGTTTCTCTAGCGGCACTTTAACTTCGGCTGCGACGTATGTGACCACCTGTGCTTCGAGAACAACCCCTCTGATTGGCGCATTTAGAAAAAAATATATACGTTCATTACAATCCTCCATGATAGTTATCATTTGAGGCACGATGCGCGACATCTGAAATAAACGCTGTGGTAAAGTATCCAACCTCAATAAAAACCTCGAACATGGAACCAATATTTGTAAAAGGCTTCAGTGCAGAGTTGTTCGCTGGATTTCGTGCCGACCGGTTGTGCACCCGCGATCTCCGACGACAGCGCAGCTCTGGCCGACTGGGCTCCCCTACACCATCTCCTGACGCCGGCAAGAGCTCTCGCCGAGTGGTGCCCGTCCTCCGACTCCTGCAACCGTGTCCATCTTTCCTATCTCTTTACTTCCGTCGTTTTCTGTCGTTCGTTGTCCCTGCACCCCCTCTCTCCTTCCTCTCTCTATCTACTTACCTTTTAATACTATCCTTTTAATCCCTCCTTACCCCATCCCTTGTGAGCTATTGTTGAGGTGTCGCACTCTGATGCAGACAGTTACGGGGCTCACTTTTCTCTTTTTTTTCCCTCTTTAGGTGTCACATAAGAATCACATAAGGCTTCGGTGCGACGTCAGGCTGAGCCCAAAGCTAAGCACCGGGGCCGCACTTTCTAGCTTTCGCTCGTTAACCTTTTCAACGGAGTGTTTGGGCGGTGATTCTTTTCTTTTTATCGTAAAACGTGTACAGTTACAGCATTCTTTCGCATTTCAGATTGTTGCCCTTGCCATAGAGGCGCACGTTTGTGCCGCTGCTTTATTCTGTAAAATGTATCGTCCCAGTGAATTTCGCTGGGGATACTGGCGCTGTTGCTCAGTTAGCTACGTAATAAGTATTTACGCGATGTCGTTGAATAGCTTGTTTCACAGAAATTCTATATTAGGTGTCGGCATTGTGATCTGTGAGCTTATCGCTCAATGTCTTCCGTCAGCGAAAGATTTATAGATAGTTTATAACGAGGGGTTTTCTGGCATCTGCAGTTTGGTGGCACCGCCAGGGGCTCCGAAACAAGGGAGGGGGGGGCAGTGGTGCTCTCGCTCTCACAGGTTAGAAACCAGGGAGGGCATGCCCCCCCCCCCCCACTAACAGCTGCTACAAACCAGCCACCTCTCTTTTTTGCCAGAGCAAAAACAGAGCTATGTATTAAGCCCATATATATATATATATATATATATATATATTGTACCGAAGCATAGTGGCGCCAGCTCTGTGCCAGCGTGAAAGAAGACGTTGACGTCCATGTGTGGCTCGTGCTTGCCGGGTTCCTACCTGTACCAGCTTGTTGCGGCTAACGTTTCTGGAATAATAACCTGTGTTTTTACGCAACCTTGCTCGTTGCATTTGGTGGAAACGTGCTGGGTAACGTCCTGGAGCTCCGCAGCCGTAAGCTACCTTCTCAGTCCACGATGACCGAGCGCGTCGATCCCCCACAAGGCTCTTCCACGCTGCCACCCGTCATGTGTTCTGGTGTACTTCGTCTGCGTGACCCACCAGTATACAACGGCACTGAAGATCAAGATGTCGAGGACTGGCTGGCAGAGTACGAGCATGCCAGCGCGATTAACAAGTGGGATGACCCTGCGAAGCTGATTCACGTCATCTTCTACTTGACGGATTTGGCCAACCTATGGTTCACCAACCACCAAGCCGACATCCCCACCTGGTCGGTTTTCAAAGAGGCCGTCACCTCGTTTTTCGGTCGTCCAGCCATGCGTAAGCTTCGCGCTGAACTGGGACTGCGGGGACGATTTCAGCGAAATGGTGAGAGCTTCACAAGCTACATTGAGGATGTGATCAGCCTCTGTAGGCGAGTTGATGACAGGATGACGGAGGCTGACAGAATAAAGAACATAATGAAAGGCATTGATGACGACGCTTTTCATATGCTTGTGGCCAAAGACCCACAGACCGTCACGGCCTTGATTCAGTTATGTCAAAGGTTCGATGAGCTGCGCAAGCAACGAGTTTCTACACGTCGCGCTAATACGCAGACAGCTGATATTTCGGCCTTGGAGTGCAAAAGCAGTGGCCCCGACTACAGCGTGTTAATGCCTCAAATTCAACAGTACATCCGGGAGGAAGTTGCTCGACAGCTCTCTCTTGTCGCCACCATCAACGAGACCCCCACAACACTGGACCACTCACTTCGCCGTGCTATTCAGACGCAAGTTGCCGAGGCTCTCCCTTCGCCCACATCCCCAATATCAGTGGCTGCACCGCTGACTTATGCAGAAGCCGTCCGCCGACCTTCTGCCCAACCGCCGCTCCCTTCATACAGTCCAGCCACCAACTACTACAGGCCACCAGTTTCAGTTTATCCGGTAAATCGGCCCATTCCACCACCTCGAGCACCTGCCAACTCTTGGCGTACTCCGGATAACCGGCCCATCTGCTACAACTGTGGTATTCCA